TATGGGAGCTATACCTATATCTCAACCGATTTTCACCGAATTTTACACACTTATTTCTAGACTCAATTTGTCGTATCTTATTTAAATTAATACTACACATTTGGTGCACAATAAAAGGAAAATCGGAAGAAGATATATATGGGAGCTATATCTAAATTTGAACCGATTATCACCAATTTCAATGGGGAGTGTCCTTGGGCCATACAAATGATTTGCGCAAAATTTCTTTTCGATCGGCAATAAATGCGACCTGTCCTTTATTTACAAAGATAAATGGACAGACGGACGGACATGCATAAATCGACTCAAAATGTGATTCTATGCAGAACATTAAAAGAAACTTGGGTCTAACTCTCTTTCTTCTCTATGTTACAAATAAAAACACAAAGTCGTAATACCCTGATCACAGTGTCGCGTAGCTTAGTAAAAATAACGAAAATAACCCATTAATCCTGTATAATTCGTGAAAAAGTAAGAAAGCTGAAAGTTCAGCCGGGCCGAACTTATAATACCCTCCACCATTTGGAACGAGTTTAGCAATTTTCAAAATATGAAATCCGTTAAAAATTCTACTAAAATCAAAAAATACCGAATGTAGCAATTATATTACGGTCTATACGATGACCTGCATAGCCAACCTTTGTCATAAGCCATTACAATATACAAATGCGAAACTTGAAAAAATCACTGACTAATGTAGCTAAAATCATCAAAATACCGAATATAGGGAGGTACTAATATATGGGGGCTACACCAAAACGTGGACCTGTACAGACAATTTTCTGGCATAGGCTGTAGTATCCATTACGAATATGAAATACCAAATTTCAAACAATTCTAGTGAATAATGTCGCTTAAATAACCAAAATACCGAGAAAAGGTAGGTACCATTATATGTTGGCTATACCAAAACGCGGACCAACATGGCCCATTTTCAATACCAAAAGTCCTGCAGACATAATATATATACATTTCAGTAAAATTTTATTAACCCACTTCATTTCTTTCGGAAGCTAGAGTTATTTTCATAGACGGTTGGACATCGCTAAATCGTTGGTACAAATTGTGCACTTCGGCCACAAACGAAAAATTGAGTGGGCCTTGATTCACTCTACAGTTTATTATAGCCTTTACTGCGAGCGTATTTATTTTTATAATTTCATTCTATAATATTACAATATAACGTGTCAATCGGTTGGTAAAACATTAAAAAAAGATTTTTTACACACAAGAGACACACACAACAAACAACAAACTTCGTACAAACTTGAATACGCCTTCTCCAAGTTGTATAATCAGTTGTAACGTATCTGGCTTGCATTGGGACAAATAAAACTTCAATTAAGTTTGTAAAATATTGATTTTATTTTTGTTTCGTTTGGTAATAATCAATAAATAATTTAGTAGCTGAGTTATTATTATAAATTAAACACGTTTCTCTATTATTTCAATAACATTTTTTAAAAATAATCGATATATAAAAGGAAGTTAGAAAATAACAATCATGTTTTCGGTATAAATAATATTTTTTCTTGTATGCGTAACACTGAATTAATAAATAATAAAATAAAAGACTTTAAGGAAATTTGTAAACAAAATCGTTTCAAATAATACTTATCTCATTACACACGTATTCATATATATATATCTTACAAAATGACAATTTTTTATGAGAATGTTAAAAAATGCCTTTGTAAGCATTTTTATTGAAAAAATGCAATGTGAATATTTTTGTAAAAATGCAAATATAAAAAATAATGATTAGTCATATAAGTACTTAGATATATGTTTTCAGATTCTATTCTAAATTAATACAAAATTATTATTTTATTATTATCTTACAATAAAGGGTGGGGGCGTATCTACATCGTTGACTTATTAAGACTCACACACACATAGACACGCAGAATGTCTCACACTCACTGTGGCTATAAAAAAATCTCCATCGCTGGTGAGTAATTTATTGTTGAGCAATTATTGTTGTTGCCATACTCATAACTATTTTGCTTTTAATTTCAAATTATATTTAATTATAAAAAAGATAAGCAATTATTTTACATAATATTCATCAAACACGCATCTGTTTCTTTAATTAGGCATCTGTTTCTGTAGTGGAAATTGACAACAGCAACAACAACTTTGTACAGAAAAATAATTCAACAAGTTCTGACACATAAAATTGTGAAATAACTTAATAAGACACTAAAGTTTCATTACATTCATTATTTAATATTAAATTTCTGGGTCAAAGCTGTTATTTATATTGCCCTTCAAGTTTGGCCTTGCTGTTAGCAAGAGATCTTCGAATTAAATTAGAATACAATATTTAGATATCCCGCTTATGTTAAGGTCTCTGTGGAAGTACTAAATCGAAGATGAAAATGGTAAGTGTAGAGCTCTGTTACAGTATCTAGAAGAATCAAATAGTTTGGTCATTGTTTACTAGAAAACCGTTTCCGTACCTAAAAAATGTTTGAACTTGCAGGCAAATCGAAGAGAACGCAAATTAAAAATCGCATCATTGTCAAACTGGGATGGACATATATATTTTAATAGACATCCGTTCTCATTCTTTTTCTGTAAAATAAATCTCTGAGAGTGACATTAAGTATTCGGTGTTTTATGAGCATGAGTGAGGCCCGATAACTACATCATAACCTTTTATGATAAAATTTACAGGTTCAAACAAAATCAATCAGACCGTGTTTTAAATATAAAAGATCAATAAGTTCAAATGAATGGGTTATTCTAAAAGAACTCACTTCCCTCATTACCATGTAATGAGTCACGTGAACAAAGTGTGTTTGCGCCCGTCTACAAAACCAAAGGTTGTTAGTTCTAAACTCGAGGTCGGCAAACGAACAAAAACGTAACAAAATACTCTAAGTTAAGAAACAGATAAAAAGCAGCCAAGTTCAGCCGGGCCGAACTTTCAATACCCTTCGCCTTTAAGTAAAGAAAACATTTGGATAATGCTGTTAAACTTTTCAAAAAACCAAAAAGTGGGCGAGGCCGTTTTATGGCGGCCATACCAAAATGGGAACCTCCATAGACAATTTTATACTTTAAGGACTGCCATTTACCAAATCTTCTTAAATACTAAATTTGAAAGAATTTCATGGGTAAATGTGACAAGGATTATCAAAATACCGAGTATCGGTGGGTATCGTTATTTATGCGCTATGGGAAAACGTGGACCTAAATTTTAAATGTTCTGCGCCAGAGCTAGAACCCATTACGAACTACAACTACCAATTTTTGGACAAATCCGTGGAAAAATATGGCAAAAATCATCAAAACACCGACTATCGGGAGGTACCGTTATAAGGGGACTATACCAAAATGTGGACCTATACATATAATGTTTCGCCATTGGAGCTAGAACCCAACATGAACTAAAAATATTCCAAAACGTGATAGATATATCTCATTTTCAATACCAACCATCCTAGACACAATACAAATTGTTTTGACAAATTTTTAAGCTCTACGTCAAATAATGTGGGCTGCATCGTGATTTCAACAGACGGACAGACGGACATCATTAAATCGACTTTAATACTAATTATGAAAATATATACTTTATGTAGTTTACGGTGACTACTCCACCTTTTCAAGGTGGAGGGTATAATAATGGGTCTGATAATGAAATTTTCAAAATTTGTATCCTTTTTTCTCATCAAAAAATCATTTTTATACCCTCAGCCACATAACTACAGAGGGTATATAGCATTTAATAGGCCAAAATATACCTCATCGAAATAACGGTTTTAGACCCCAGGTCTCTTTTGACCAAATACGTTTCAGGACATTTGAAGTCGATGTAGTCTGTCTGGCTGGCTGGTGCGCATGATAACTCTCGAAGAGAGTGTTCGATTTGGCCCAAATTTGGTACATCGTAATATCATTATTAAACAATTATGCAAATCCCAATATCGGTCCACTCCTTCTAGTACCTCCCACAACCGATCAAAATTTTAAAAAATTATATCTCTCATAATAAAATTATATCTCTCATAAATAAGCACCCGACTGATTTCAAATTTCACACATCTCAATATTTTTATTAACAAAAAATCTGGTTTGAAGATGGAATATATCGGTTCAATCTTTCCGGTACTTCCCCGACAAGGCGTCACCATTTCAGGTTGGTAATTACATATCTCATAAAAAACGAAATAAGCATCCGATTCGTTCTAAAATTCACAAAATATCTCTCGGAGATCACTTAACCATCCGCCTGTTGCAATCAGAGCTTCGCAATTTTGCACAGATGTTAACATTGCTCCTGGTGTGAATGAGTATCAAATTCCTGTTAAACGTCTCATCCAAATTCGAAGGCTGTATATTTGTTTTTCAAACTCTCAATTGGTGGAACGCTTCATTTTGGTAGAGTAGATCTTTACACATATAATCAATGTGTTTCAACAATCCCAAAATAAAATATTACAATGTACCAAGTTTAAACACAATTACGTATCCCCTCGTGCGCACAGGCAGAATTTTTTGACATATCAAATGATACAGGGTATGTATGTATGAGGCATTCAGGTATAAAAGGTATAAAAAATCTTATAAGTTTGAGAGAAATTATTATTGTTTTTAATTGAACTTCGTTAGCACCTGTCATGAACCTGCCATAACCGTTTGGTTTGTTTTTTACATTTATTTGTAAACACAAATTCTCCACACATTTGTTTACAATAGGCCCTTAGCCGAATCAAATGCAAAAAGAATAAGCCAAAACATTGTCAATTTAGGGTTTCAGTTCACCTTTTCTGGCGGAGGTAAAGACTGCGACATCCGATCGAATCATTCAAACTAATTGCGGCTAAGCTCAACAGTTCCGTTCACACCATAAATCAAATGGCTTAAAAACTGTAACAGCTTGAGGTCGGACCGGAAATGTGCGTCAATCATTGCGGTACACCGGGTATCATTAGATTTGCTTGTCATAGTTCATAAATGATTAAAAAAAAAACTTAAAATTCTATTGAATATTTTTCGTTTTGTTTTTGTGTTTTGTTATATAGCTGCGACGAAAATGTAATTGGCGACAATAAAAATAGAAGATAATGATGATGAGTTGGAATTCTCTGAATAACCCCCCTTCGGTAGGAAGTCAAAGTTCGAAGAATTGGGTCATAGCCATGGCGGCAATGACAAACTAGCAATGGCTTAAATCATTTGATTAGCTTGTTAAGTTCAGTTTTGATTCTTGTTTGGCAGATGTCTCTCTTAGGTGCGCATGTGGAGGAAGTCCCTTAACGCTCTTGCTTTAAATCGTTAATTGCCTAATTTTTTCCATTTTTTTTTTGTAATCTAATGGGATTTTATTTATACATATGAGTTTTTGCATGTGTTTGTGTACATTTAAACTTATTATCCATATGTTAATTGCCACTTTTGTTTTTATTAACTTAGCCAACCAACCATTGGCGGCTTTTCGTGCATTTGCATTAATGACTTGTTTAATGTACTTCACCAAGTGTTTGTTGTGTTTTGTTTTTTTCTGATGGTGTTATTTTAATTGTTAGGTTTTATTTGTAATTCTCTCCCAATTCGAATTAAAGCTGGTGTGGAAAATCCCCGTTGGTTGTAGTTGTTACAAAAAAAAAAACAACACGAAAGACATTAACAATTGTGGGTGATTCATAATCCAGAGTCAATTGACTTTGTTTCCTAGGCTTTGTTGTTGGCTTACAAATATTTGAGCTTTCAAGCAGAAAATATAAATTACATGAATGATCATTACATTGGGCGTAATAAACGACAGTGATTTGAATGGTTGAAAATAACGGAAGTTTGTCGACAACAAGTGGTAATAGAAGTTAAATTCAAAAAAATTCAACATTCATAAAATGTGTTTCACCAACAAACCGAGCTATAGCCGAACTAGGCTGACAATATGATAGATACACACCACCAACGCTATTTCTGTCCATTAGTTTGATTGTTCGATAAAGTTGGCACAATATCGATGATAGCACCCATTCTGTACAAGACTTTTAAAATATTGATATTTTCAGTACCGTAGGTATATGAATAATAATTATTGGGAGTAAAAATTTTAAAGAAAAGGATATTTCTTTTAAATACTCCAAATGTTTTCGCAAAATCAGAATTAATATTTCAAATTTTTGATAAAAGGATCTTTATATCGGCGTAATTTTTAAAAACAGACTATGAGATATTTATCTTACGGTTTACACCATGGTACAATGAATTCAAGGTAGGGCAGAACTACCATATGATTTTAATTTTTTTTATGTTTCTGGCTTAATATGTCAACTTCATTTGTTTATGTGTGTGTGTATTTATTCAATAATAAAAAATTGTTCAGAAAATATTCAAATTTGGGTGTTTTCAAAATGCTTATTGCAACGTATGCATCGACAAAATCTACAGTTTTTGTCTCGAAATAAACCATAAGAGATATATAGAACATGATTTTGAAAAGAAATTTTGACCTTTCATTCAGTTATCGCGGTTTTCAATTATTTATTCAAAATCAATGCAACAAGTTGTTTGCTTTTTTATTGTTTTGATAGTAATTCTGACATTACAAGCCAAACAGGTAGACCTCTATACTTGCAATTTTTTCAAAGTTAGCCTACCTTGTCTTCATTGTACCATGGTTTACACCAGGACAAGCAAAGAGAGTCCAATGGTATATCTGCGTGTTCTCCAACACAATTGTACAAAAACAAGTTAAAAGGTATTAATCGGTTTTACCGACAGATCCTCTGTTCGATTATTTAAAAATATTTTGGCTTCTATTATGATTATTCAAATTGGTGACCCTCTATGGAGTAGGTTTCGAAGGAATGGACCAATATAGTCCATTTCGTATTGGATCTAAATAAATATGATATAAATATTGCGACATGCTAGGTTTGGACTACATCGACTACTTCCTTCACTTTTTATGAGATATCTGATCATTTTTAGAAAATGTTGAAATGTGAGTAAGGTACCAGATATAGTGAGCCGTGGACTATTTTTACACTTTATCTAATACAGATAAAAATATTGGTATGTGCAAAATTACAAGAAAATCGAAAATTCATATCCAATTTTATGCAAAATCATAAAATCCGATAAATTTCATATTCATCTCAGGTTTCTGGTTGAGAGAAATATTCAGATATATTTAAGTTATGACAGAAAAAATTATTGAAAATTGTGACCCTTTGTTGGTGAGGTATCAGAAAGGTTTCGCAGATATATATCATCTTCACAAAAGATCTTGTGTTAGCAAAAATGTTTGTTTGTTTGTTTGAAATTTGAAGGAAGTTGGACGCTTATTACGTGTTTTATGAGAGTTTTGTATTTCAAATTCTTGAACCACTTTTGGAGGAGGTACTAAAAGGAATGGCTCGATCTCTACCATCTTCATAACAGACCTTGTGTTAATAGAAACATTGAGCTTCTTGGATATTCAAAATGTTGGCCCTTTGAGGGCGAGGCAGGCAGAAGGAGTGGACCGATATATCTTATCTTCGCACCAGATCTTGGGTTTATAAAAATAATGCGAGGTGTGTAATTTGAAGACAATCGGACTCTTACATCACGTTTTATAAGAGTTTTAATTATTCAAAATTTTGACACCTTGTGAGGGAGGTACGTAATGTAGTGGATCAATATTGTCAATTTTCACACCTGACCTCGCACTGCAGCAAATATTAGGATTTGCAAAGTAGGGGCAAAATCGGATTATTCTTTCTTTTTTTTTTTTGAGCAGTAAAATATTTTTTGTAACATTTCAGTCTTTTGTGAGGGAGGACCGATAGTGCCCATCTCCGAACTCGATCTAATTTTGATAACCTAAACTGGTCCATGTTTATTTTTAAGGCTATATATTCGACAATTCTCACACACGCGATGCTATTACATATGAAAAGATCAACAATAAAATCATTTTTTTTTTGTTTCTGAACTATTCTCAACCTTCTGGTGTTCGAAACTTTGTAAAATCTATTCACGATTACATCAATTTACAGAGAAATGTATTTGTCCAGAAAAAATTCCCCATTCTAAAAGATGGTCAATTTTTGGCAATAGTAACTACTTACAACACTACTTACTAACCCATTATTTTAACAAGGACATGTAATCCGAAATTAGTAGTTAGTTCACTGGCCACTAAAAGTCGAAAAAAAGGTAGAATAAAATTTTTTGTTAAATTTTTAGAATTCACTTTTTCGCTGATGGTATTAAACTCGGAAACTTATGATTTATAGTTAAAAGCCCCACTGTGCCACTGTTACGAACATCAGGGATTGTTTAAAGTCGTGCGTCTACATCAACAACTCATTGTATTTTATTATTCTTTTTCTTGTACTGCCGACGCTGAGTTTCGAACTCTCAACAATTGGTTTTGTGATCGGACGTTCACACTCTATGCCGACGTTACACATTACTTGGTAATGAGAAAATTTATATATTTGTTTAGATTTTATTGAGGAATAACCCATTTTTCCGGATCATCCAACTTTCAAGAAATTACTTAAGCGGGATATATTAACTAAAAATGTATGTATAGAAACTACACTCAGCAAAAACTTGAAAGTTGGATGATCCGAAAAAAATCTATTTCAAAAAACCCAATGTATGCTGTATAAACTTCTCATATATATGCCCGAACCACTGTGCCACAAAGAAATCGTTCGTGAATGTTTGACATGCAAAGTAATACGCCCTGCATTTTGATTTGGTTGTACCCTGCCGGATGAAATAAAGCTTAGAATTTTGTTTGGATTGAGTGCCACACCATTTAAGCTTTGGCTGTTTGCTGCTGTGTTGCGACGCGATGCGTGTGAGAGAATTGTCTGACTGGGTCTACGCCTACCGCCAGGGTATCTTAATTGGTGAACGAGAACGCCTCTGTGTAGGCACCACAAAACGTGTTTGGTGGTGGTGATGTTGTTGTTGCTGCTGCTGTTGTTTCGAATATGACGATGAGGTAATACCAACGCCACCGGCGGCATGGGAAGATGTTGATCGTGATTGGGCTGCCGGTCGATTAGTTGTTGCCACATTCGACGACGTTTGATATTTAGAATGATAAACAGGTGTTGTTGCATTCCGCTGGCCAGCATAATTTCGAGCGTTGTTGTTGTTGTTGTTACTGGCATATGATGGCGATTGCAATGTTGTTCTATTGGAGGTCAATGGAGAGTTTTGAGTGTTGCTGATGTTGTTGTTGTAGTGTTGATTATCTCCAAAATAGGTTTGCCTCAAAGGCTGGGCCTTGGTGTTCACCTGGGTACTGTACGAGCTGACATAACGCTTGGCAAATGATGGCGATGAATTGCTGGTGGGTATTCCTGAGCCAGTGCCTCCCAGCTGTATTCGTGTCGATAGGCGACTGGGCCGTGTGGTTAAGGCCACCGGCTGTTGCAACTTGCTGCTACTGCTATTATCACTCTTGATTTGTACAAGTGTTTGATAGCGACCAGTCGTTGGCTGATTGTTACTGATGCTGCTACTCAGTGTGGGTCTTGAAGGTGAACGTGATAGCGGTTTGGACCAATTTCTTTGTGGCGAGCCATTCAGACGGGTATTCGATGTTTTGATGGTATACGACGTGTTCATAATGGGTTCCGAGCGGTTGTATTGTGTTAAGGTTGCTTGCGATGGCATTGGCTTGGCCACACCCACTGGGACCATGCGTCCCGGCATATGTGGCGTTATGGAGTTGCGGAACTCAATGCGTATTGAGGGTGCGTTGGTGGTGTCTTGCTCAGTCTTGATTGCGTTGTTCGGAGTGTATGACCGTTCAACCTTGAAGGTATCGTTGCGTTTGACAGGCGATCGAGTTGTGGAACGTTGTTGATTACGCCGCGAACTTAAATCCCTTATTGGAGAGCGAGAACCAGGCCGATAGTTGTCATTTTCAAACACCAAGAAATCAGTGCGATTCTCTTTCGATAGACTGTGGTCCCGTTGAGATTTGTGAGCATCTTCCGCAGGTGGTTCCACTTCTACGAACCATGCCGGATTGTGGGGTGCCTCCTTTTGTTGCTGCAGGAATTTGTCCCGAAATGATTTGCGAAAACTGTTGATCGTTACGGTTTTGTATTTATCCGCTTCATTGAGATTTTCAAAGCCGCTACGTTTGCGATAGTCATCATCATCCTCGCCATCAGCGTCTTTATCCTTGCCATCATCCTCGTGTTCGGGCAAATGTTGACTTTGCTTCAACTGTTCCAATTGCTTCTTCAATTCGGAGGGCATTTTTCCTTTGCGATAGGTTGAGGAATCAAATGTGGTACTATTCGCCTTGCTGCCATAGCTTGGAGCATTATTGCGTTCATTGGCCGCTGAGTGCATTGCTGTGGAGCCATTCGAAGAGGAGCCTCCGTTGTGCAGCGATTTCAAACTTGTCTGATCGTACAGAAAATTAAACGGATCCGTTTGAGAGTCATAGTCCAAGCTGTTGCTGCCATCTGCCTGCCATTTGTAGTACGTGTTGGTGGCATTATCGCTCGGATGGTGATCTAAGGCTGAACTATCCGGCGTCGGGGTCTTTTTGCGTTTCGTAAATGTGCTGAACTTCTCCAACACTTTCGATTTCTTGGACTTCTTCTCCAGCGTTGAGGTATTCGAATGGAAGCCATTGTTTTCGTTCTGCTGCTCGTCGTCCAAGATGAACGTGCCGCTGCGATTGAAAACGGAATCAGTGCCAGATTCCACCGAGTCTCGTCGTTTGTTGTTGCTTAAGCCGCTTATAACGCTGCCCGGGCGAGATGATCGAACGGGAGTGGTATCGCGTGACGAAGACCGACCACGGGTGATGGACGAGCGTAAATTACGAAAGAATGACATGCTGGGTTACGCATCAACGACACAAACGCTTTGTTTGTTCGACTTTTTAAACACTTCACTTTTTTCTTTTGTTTTTTTTTTCGAATTTTCACGTCTATGGAAGGGGATTCGTTCGCGGTAGGCTGGGTAACCTTCACGTTCTTGACTAATGGCTAATGGCCTTTAATGATCCGCCAGCAAATCACTTGAATGTTTTTTGTTAATTTTTGTGATGTTGTTTTTTGTTTACTATCGCTAAACGCACCCATTTAGTAGGGCCTTAGGGGATTTTTTTGTTTTTAATTTTTTTTTTCCGTATATCTTCGACTTCTTCTTCTTCTTTGTCACAAAGTGGCTTGAATCAATAATTAATTTTAGATCTCCGGTTTTAGCGCTTTAAATTTTTTTCGAAATAAATGATGTTTTGTTTTAATTTTTTCACTTTTATTTTAACTTGCAATGCAAAAGTAACTACCACAACGACAACAACTCTTCGACAATCTTCACAAAGCCACAACTGAATTCTAAAAATCAACGATTTTGTTTTTGTTCGGACGTTTGTTCGACGACGACAACCGTTCAAGTCTTACTTAACGCGACAACTGTTTCCCAGCAACTGAGCGTTCATTGAGCGAGCGAGAGCTAACGGCGGCAACAGCAGCAGCTAGTTCAGCACAGCGGATCCCCAAACGCCACCACAGAAGCACAAACAGAAACAACAAAACAAAATACTCCAACGTAAAAAAAGACCAAGCAACTGAATTTGATCTCGCCGGATAATGAGCGTTTAGAAGTTTCAATGGTACAGTCACAACACGTTTGGGGGGAGAGCAAGGCGAGCTGAAGAGTGTAAGCCGGCAAATTTTAGGAACACAAGGTAAGTTGTTGTTGTTTTTTATTCTTAATTGTGACCGGCACGAGTGTAAATTACAACAATGAAAATGTTTTTGGTTTGTCTCTGTTGTATTTGCAGTGCTACTGCCAAGTACCGGACAATTGCTCATCTTTTGTTTTTGCTAGCTGCCTGCCGGAGTATCTGGTTTTCTGACCATTTTAAGTTTTGTGAACTTTATCATCTGTTTCGTCGCACAATTTAAGTAATGGATCTACGCCGAGAAATATTCATATGTAACATATGGGTATATTAGAGGGGGTCGGCAAAAGTACCCTCATGAACTATTCTTTCGAACCTGCCAAGCTAAAAATCACGAGGGTCAGTCTTGGTACATAAGCGCCTGAAAAAGCTGAGTTTTTGAAAATTTTTGTGGCAAAAGGATACGAAAGGTACTAAAAATGTATAAGACAAATGGAATGACCTATAATTCTGAAATTTGGAAGGAGAGTCATGAATGGAGTGCAGGATAGATGTACCAAAGGGTTTTTGGAAACTTAAACCTTAATGTTACGAAAAGTTCTAAATTGATAGCAAGCTTTTAAAATTTTACCATTTGGTATTATGTGAACGGATAGAGCTAAAAACTTCGGTATGGAAATCAAGGTTGCAAAGTTAGTTTAATATATGAAGGTGGCGTACTAAATGGTACTACAATTGGAATAGTTTGGTTTAGAGTGAACTGATGAAGCTGGAATTTTAAAATTTTGTATTGGGGTCCCTGCTGGTGGTAGGTTTTGTGATTAAGAGGTGGTTTTGGAAATATGTATTACTAGTGCAAGAACAGTACTATATTTGGCACAATTTTGTATCGGGTTAACAGGTAGTGCTTGAAATTTGGTATTAATTTCGCTGTTCATGTATAGCCTGGACAAATGGAAGTGGTTTGGGAAATGTGTACTATATTTGTACGAAAAGTACTGAATGGTACTATATTTGGAATAGAGATACAATTCTGAAATTTGATATTTAGATTATTGATGGTATGTGTGTTTGAGATATGGTGGTGGTTCGGAAATGCCTCCTATATTTTTACGAAGAAGGCCTGGAATCCTCAAATCATTTGTTAGTATCTAGAATTTAGATATGAATTTTGTTTTGGAAATGCGTACTTTAACTGTACAAAAAAAAAGAACTAAATGTTACTAAATTGACATTGGGTGAAGGGATAGAACTGAAATCCCGAAATTTGATATGAATGTCACTGTTGGTGTCTGTGGTTAAGATATGTACATATATTGTTTTGAAAATGTCTACTTTGTTGTGTTCGAAAAGTACTAAATGGTACTTAATTTGGTATTGGGTGAAGGGACCGGACTTAAATCCTGAAATTAGATATGAATATCTCTGCGGTTGAGATAAGAAGGTGGCTTCGAAAATTCGTAGTATAGACGTACGAAAAGTGCAAAATACCACAAAATAGGCATTTGGGTGATGGTATATAGTAGCAGGCACTTGCTAGGGTTTTGGAAATGTGTACAATAATTGTTCGAAAAATATTAAATAGTACTCAGTTTGGTAATGAGTAAAGGGATATAGCTGAAATTCTGAAATTTGATATTGAAATCTCTCTTGGTATTTTGGATTGAGATATGGAGCGGGTTTTGAAAATGTGTACTATAACATGTTCTAAATCGCACTAAATAAGGTATGGGTTGAAGGGATAGAGCTGAAATTTGATATTGAGGCCTTTGTAGGTTTCTAGGTTTTACATATTGAGACGTGGGTCCATTGTGCAATGGTTTTACTAATAACATCCTCGGTAAACTTGAAAATGAACAATTTTGAAGACTTTTTCCTATTATTTTTCCCGAAAATGGAAAAACTTGAAAGTCGGAATATTTAATACGATGTTTGAAGTTTTGAATAAAAAATGTTGTCAAACTCAACAAATTGTACATTGTGACTACGAAAAAGACCTAACACGAACTATTGGAACGAATCTAAGATATTAAGGTGGAGTTTTCGCTGACGATGTAGCGGGCACTTACTCTATGACACCGCTAATATCGCTGTTATAAGGTGCAACTTATGATTTTCAGAAGACTTAAATACAAAATCGGATGAAACATATATACAGGGTGAGATGAAAAAACTGCAACCATCTTCAGACTGCTGTCATTTATAAGCTACTCGTCCGACACCTTTTAAAATTATTCCAGTGACAGCTCATTATATTGTTTACAAGCTTTCAAAAGTATTTTGATGAGAATTTTCCAGAAAAAAAATTAGAAGTGATCTTGATAGTGTGATTTCTTTATATTTGGCTGGAAACCACAAGTGACCAAAGGTGACCAATTCGAACAAATCTAAACTTATTCTGAAATTTGATGCTATTTCCGACATTGTTTGCTTTCAATCAATAAACTTTAGCAACATATATAAAAATGATGGCGTTTGACTTTGTTGAAGTTTTTTATCTCACCCTGATCATTTATTTCAAATTTAAATGCAATGGCAATTTTTTCTAGACCCTTCTTCAAAGACATGTTAACATAAAAACCACAGTTACAGAAACAAATAACAAATAAAAATTTAAAAAATCCAAAATTTTGGTTTCGAAATTTTATTCCATAGACCTTTCTAAAAATGTGCATATTGCTTTAGCGGTTTAAATCAGTTAACATTGGTAACTATGTTGTTATGATATCGTAACAACAGAGGTATTTTCACAGGGTTGCCATGTTTTGACTCTGTCTTGTCCTATCTTTACACTTCTATGTCTTTGCCTTCTTTCTTTTTGATTGAAGGTTTAAAAACACCCATTATTTTTACTTATTCAGATCATTGAAAGGTGCTGAATCACTCTACCCTTACAAAAAATTCCTAAAATGTATGCAAAATGCGTCCAGATGATTTAAAAGAACTAAGATATATTGTGCGAGTAAACCAAAATATTTTTGTTTCTGTGCTAACAAAGGCCAGTGTCATCGCCTACATGGTTTTGTATTCGGAAATTATGTACTTATGTACTATTAGGAGTACCGAAAAGTAATGAAAATCAGCGGTACAATATGCCACTTTTATATTTACGTTTGGTCTTAAAAATTCCAATTTTGATACAATCGTATAGCTAGCTTGTACAATTATTTAAAGCACGACCCCATCTAATACATAATTGTTTAAAAATACATATATTTTTTTATTATATTTTATACTAAAAAAACAATTCTATGATGTACTTATACTTTTTAGGGTAAAAAAGTTAATTCAACGTTTGTTTTTATGTGTTTTCTTTTTTGTTGTTGTTGGTTTCGTCACTTGCCTACGACGATCAGTTCGTGTTCTCAAACAACTCGAAATGATTCAAAAAGTTTAGCTCGACACAGAACAGGTTATTTGTTGCCAAGAAGAAAGGCACATTCGCCGCCAAGTAGCGATGTACCAACGATTCCATTTCAATGTAGATTTTTTTTTTATTTCAGATCGACATCTCAACATTTTATTTACTTGAGTAAAATGAAAGGAGTTAGATTGAAATAATTCACACAATAAAATTCAATGAGTTTTTTTTTTGTTTTTTGGTATTACATTTTATAGAATTCGCGAAAAAAAATGTTTTGGAAAGTTTTTGTTATTTTTGTGATTTTGGGAGATTTGGGATAAACCCATTTGAAAATGTGTGCGTGTATGTTCAAACTTGAAAGTTTTATTAATTACTTCAAGTTGTATACGGTTGGTCTGATCAAGGCATGCTTTTCTGAGTGTTTCTGGTATTTATTTAATCAGTTTTTAGAAGTGGTTTACCCCAAAAGAGATTTGGGGGAGATTAGATTGGAATAAATATTTTTCAGATTAACCAGCTGATGTGATTAGGACTCTCAAAAACCACCATCCTAGGAACCATATGCTGGTAAAGTATTCTATAATGAATTTTTATAAATCAGGAAGGTTTTCCATGGAAGGCGAAAACGTTGTCAATAGGTTAATAAACAATGCCAGAATTTCACGGGTGATTGTTACTACTTCTACCCATTATCCGACGACATAACAAAACTCCCCGAATGTTATTTTCAGTTGTCAGACGGCTGTCGAAATACTGGGGGATCGAGGCTAGTAAAAATCGATTTTGTCACCGAAGGCATAATCGAATTTCTTCTTTAATGATAAAAGCCAAATAAGAATTATTGGACCTCTAACTTAGGGCTAGCATATGCTGAAATCAGATAGGTAAATTACATCACTGTAAACTCATACCGTAGAGAAGGAGCGTTTAATAATCTCAACTTCCGATATCTTCACAATGCTTCGGAAAACATAAGCATCTTCTGTTTCTTCAGATTTAGATATAGACATTTTACACAGGGTGAGATAAAAAAGGAACAAAGTCAAAAGCCATAATTTTAATTTTTTTTTTCAATGTAGGAAAAATTCCAAAAATGTCGGAAATAACATCAAATTTTAAAATAAATTTAGATTTGTTTGAGACCAACTTTGGCACGAATTATGGCCTTCAAACGGCCAATGAAACCGTCATACACTGCCCGAATGTTGCTCTGCGGTATTTTGGCCCATTCCCGCGAAGTGCTTGCTTGAGGTGATCGACACTTTGGTATTTTTTAGTGCCAACCTTGCTTTCCAAAATACTCCAGACCCAATAGTCGAACGGATTGATATCCGGAGAATTTGGTAGCCATTGTGCGCTGGAAATGAAGCGAGAAACCTCATTTTGTAACCATTCTTGGGTGGCGCGTTCTGAGTGCGATGATGCTGAGCCCTGTTTGAATGTTCAAGGTCTGCGGCCAAAATGTTTGCGTGTCCAAGGCTTTAATGTGTATTAAAGCACCTCCAGAATATTTTCGCGATAATATTCGACATTTATACTGATGCTGCGGTCGATTAATACGAGCGGAGAGCGACCATCGGCTGTTATGGCGGCCCACACCATCACCATGGCCGGCGCTTGAGTTCTGGTGGCCAACCGAAGGTGCGCATTTTCAGCTGACCTCTTTGGCAAGTAAACA